CGCGGAGTGGTTCGCGGGGTGGGTCGCGGGGTGGGTCGCGGGTGGGTCGCGGGTGGGACGACGACAACGACAACAACAACGACGACGACAACAACAACGAAACTCTCACCACGAATGTCCTATTCAGCCAACGCGCCCAGGACAGTGAATGACCGTTCGGCCCCTTCACCCTGATCAAGTGGGGGGGTCCAGGTGGGGACTGGTGGCGGGGTCGCGCCGTGGCCCTGAGATGGCGGATTTGAAACACGAGCGTTTCGCCCGAGGCATCCTCGCCAAACTGCGAAATGGGCTGGGCGCCCCAGGATGCCAACATGGTTCTGGGAGTGCGGTCGCGCCGTTCTTTACCAGGGATCGTGGCCCTGGGAGCGCGGGCGCAGCGTGATTTACGAGGGACCGTTGCGCTGAGAGCGCGGACGCATCGTAATTTACGAAGGATCGTTGCCTTGAGAGCGCGAACGCAGCGTACTTTATCGGAGGTTGGGGTGTGAGTCCGACGTGAAACGGAGACCCCCCCTACAGGGAAACCGATTTCGGTTTCGGGTTCGTGTCGTGCGTGCCGTGCGTGCGTGCGGGCGAGGCGAAGCTGCGTTGGCGGGCGAGAGGAAGTTTTCCTGTGGCTGGGCCGCGGCCGGACCAAATGATTCTCCTTCGGCGGCCAGTGGCCCTAGCGGTGTCCCGCCGGTTTCTCGCTGGTGTCCCGAAATCTTCCTGTGGCTGGGCCGCGGCCGGACCAAATGATTCTCCTCCGGCGGCCGGTGGCCCGCGGTGTCCCGCTGGTGTCCCGCTGGTGTCCCGAAGTCCTCCTGTGGCTGGGCCGCGGCCGGACCAAATGATTCTCCTCCGTCGGCCGGTGGCCCGCGGTGTCCCGCTGGTGTCCCGCTGGTGCCCCGAAGTCCTCCTGTGTCTGGGCCGCGGCCGGATCAAAAGTCTCTCCACCGTCAAACGGTGGCCCGCGGTGTCCCGCTGGTGTCCCGAAATCTTCCTGTGGCCGGGCCGCGGCCGGACCAAATGTCTCTCCACATGGCAAACGGTGCCCCGCGGTGTCCCGCTAGTGTCCCGCTGGTGTCCCGCCGTGGCTGCGGCGAGCTATCCAATGCAAGTCTACATGCAAGCCGACATGCAAACCGAAGAGCACATCGAACTGCAAATCGACATTCACATCCAAATGCAAATCGTAAGGCGCCGTGGGTTGCGTATGAAAAAAATCGCCGCCTGCGGCGAGCTCTCCAATGCAAGTCGACATGCAAGTCGAGATGCAGATCGAAATGCAAATCGACATGCACATCGATATGTCGACATGCAAATCGAGATGCAGATCGAAAAGCAAATCGACATGCACATCGATATGCAAATCCAAATGCAAATCGAAAGGCACATCGTCATGCCGTGCTGTATGCTGTGCCGCCGTTGTCACAGTGGAACGGAGACCCCCAGCCGGGAAATCGTTTCGTTTCGTTCGTGTCGTTCGTGCGGGCGAGGCGAAGCTGCGTGGGCGCGCGAGGGGAATGAACCCGCCGTTGCTAGTGCGACTCCCCTGTCCGTCCGTCCGTCCAGCGGTGGCCCTAGCGGTGTCCCGCTGTGTCCCGTGGTGTCCGCCGTTGCAAGGGCGAAGTCAAGACAAATGATTCTCCCCCGTCCATCCGTCCGTCCGGCGGTGTCCCGCGGTGTTTTGTGGTGTCCCGTGGTGTCCGCCGCTGCCATGGCGAAGTCAAGACAAATGATTCTCCCCCGTCCGTCCGTCCGTTCGGCGGTGGCTCGCGGTGTCCCGTGGTGTCCTGTGGTGTCCCGTGGTGTTTTGTTGAGTGAGATGGATATTTCGATCGGTACTGAGATCGATACTGATATCGACGTGGTGGCCCGTGGTGTCCCGTGGTGTCCCAAAAAGTGAGATCGATAGTGAGATCGATAGTGCGATCGACAAGTGTCCCGCGGTGTCCCGTGGTGTCCCGTGGTGTCCCCTTGAGTGAGATCGATAGTGAGATCGATAGTGAGATCGATGCTGAGATCGATGTGGTGCCCCGAGGTGCCCCGTGGTGTCTCGTGGTGTCCCCAAAACAGTTAGATCGATAGTGAGATCGATAGTGCAACCGACAGGTGTCTTGTGGTGTCCCATGGTGTCCCGTTGAGTGAGATCGAGAGTGAGATCGATAGTGAGATCGATGTGGTGTCCTATGGTGTCCCGTTGAGTGAGATCGATCGTGAGATCGATAGTGAGACCGATAGAGAGATCGAAAGGTGTCCCGCGGTGTCCCGTGGTGTCCCGCGGTGGCCCCTGGTGTCCCGTGGTGTCCCGTTGAGTGAGATCGATATTGGGATCGATAGCGAGATCGAGAAGTGTCCCGTGGTGTCCCGTTGTGTCCCGTTGAGTGAGATCGATAGTGATAGTGCGATCGATTGAGTCAGATGTTGGTTCCCCCCTTTCCCCCCCCCCACAATTTCCATATCACCGGAAGGGTGGTCGTATAGGTAAGGGATCGTGGCCTGGGGAGCGAGTTTCAAGTAACTTCTTAGGATGATAATATGTTAATGTGCCCGCCTCCTGGGATTGGAATCCTGAATGTTTTACGTGTGTCCCTACAGATTGCCCACCTCATGGGGCTCGAATCCTTCGTGTTATACGTATTTCTATGGATTGCACCCCCCCTCCCGTCCCCCCTCTAACGGTGCTCGAATCCTTACGTTCAACGTGCATTCCCATCGATTGTCCCTCTCCTGGTGCTCGCATCCGTCGCGGTTTACGTAGACTCCTGAGGACTGCCGCTCTACTTGGTCTCTAATCCAGTGTGTCTCGAATGATGCCAGCTACTGCACGATGGCACTGGGGGAGAGCAGTTGCCATGCCGGGCACGATATTGCAACTGCTGCGGACTGAGGTTGCAACCGTTGCTCCAGGCTTGCGTCATAGCTCTCCCTGGAGTGGATCAGAAAACACAATCCCGCGGTACTACTCGCAGCTGCCATCGTGTCCAACAGAACACGATTGGCAGTTCAACACGTCAAAGGGACGCGGGGACACTACGCCCATCTGCAATTTGCTTCTTCGTGGCTACTATGCTACAGAACTAGGTGAGAGCAGTTGTCCAATCGGACATGATATTGTCACATCTGCGAACTGTGAGGTTGCAATCGTTGATGGAGGCTTGTGCCATAGCTCACCTTGGAGTTGATCAGAAAACACAATCCCGCGGTAGTGCTCACACCTGCCATCGTGCCAAACAGAACACGAGTGTCAGTTCAACACGCCAAAGGGGCGCAGGGGCACTATGCCCGTCTGCCGCCAGCTCGAGGCGACCACAGTGACCACCACGAGCTCCACCACTACCCGGGCTTTCAATGTTCCCGGAAAGGGCGTAGGACCAAGGTTTTCTTCCACATGTTTACCCTGGGTTTCGGTTCGAAGAGGGCAGGTGTATGTATTTGCGATAAGTTACAAGGTGAAGGCCCAGTGTTGTGAAACAAATAAGTTTCGCGGGTGCCCGCTCGAGGAAAGTGTGCACCCCACCTCCGATCTTCGGTAAATGATGGAGTCCGCAGATCCTCGTCTTCGTTAGGTAAAGAATGCGAAGCGGTTTTGCGCAGAATCAGCGATGATCAACAATGTCTGAAGACATGGGACTTCTTTATAACATTGTCGAATGGCAATTTTTCGTAGAAATGGCGGGGCCCAGGGCTTCCTTTGAGTAGGTAAACTGCCAGGTGCCATGCTGAGACGGGCCCGCGAATTGTCCGCTCGAAATAATATACGTAAGGTCTTGTTCGGTATGGAAAAATTGGTTTCGCGCTTGCCCGCTCGAGGAAAGTGTGCCCCCTATCACGGATTTCTCGTTGCCCAGCGGGGTCCGCAGAGTCCCGCATTTTTTTGTCAGAAAGAGGGCGCGGAGCGTTGCGCACATAATCCCAACTAAATGACGAGGTTTCTCGAGGACGTCTCGAGCCCCGCGCTTGTTTTGCAGAAAGAGTGTTGACTTTTTGCGTGCCCTCTCGAGTATGGCGCGCTCTGCGCGCCGAATACCTGAGGATGTCTCGAGCGAAACGCTTGATGCGCAGGGCTTGGGGGGCCTGGGTTCCTCAGGATGCCCAGCTGGTTTTGGGAGTGCGGTGGGACTGTCGTTTACGAAGGATCGTGGCCCTTGGAGCGTGGAGCGTGGCAACGCGTGTGTTCCTAACGCCCCAGAGCGGGACAAGCGTGAAAACAGTTGGGCTCCTGACGCCCCAGAGCGGGACAAGCGTGAAAACACATGAGTTCCTAACGCTCCAGAGCGGGACAAGCGTGAACACATGGGTTGCGGGATTAGTGTGAAATCACGAGGGGTCCTAACGCCCAAGAGCGGGACAGGGTATGCCCCTCCCCATCGGCGCGTCCCCTGGCTCGTCCTCTGCCGCATTCCCTGGGTTGTCTCCTTGCGCTTTCCCTGCCCGTTCCGTGGCGCGTCCGTTGCCACGTCCCTTGATACGTCCCCTGGCGCATCCCCTTGTGCGCCCCTGACACTTTCCGTGGCGCGTCCATTCGCCCTGCGCCCCGTGTCGTCTCGTCCCGCTTCGGACCTGAGTCGGGTCTTGAGCTCGAGCTGATATAGCGTCCCATACGTTTCGACTGCAACCAGTTCTGGGTCAGCTATGCATTCAGGCAGCTCGAACCTCGAATCCAAATCAGTTCGGTCAGGATTCGGATGCCAAGGGCGACTTGATCCACAACACAATAGAGCAGGAATTCATCGCGGGAATACACATATCATGATCACAGTACATCATGATCACTACCCTCAGCAATGTAATTGCTGTCGCCCAATCAAGCGTCTTGAAACGTAGCCACGCCTCGCGTTTCCAAATTCCTTTCCGGGTTCGTGGGTCGATCATGTTCCAATGTACCTCTTTTTCCTATTATTATTCGTCCCCTTCTTCCTCCCCCACCTACACCTACTCCTCAGGAGTCAGGTCGAAGAAGCCCGATAAGAAGCCCGATGTGAGGTCCGTGGCGCAGTTCATGTGTGGGTGCAAGGCTAGGGAAGTGTGGGATTATCCGTAAGGGCTTCACCCCCTGCCGCCAGCCCCCTCTTCTTTCGGATAATGGATCATGCAAGAGCTACGTCGTGAGGTCTGGGCACCATCTTGAAGCAGTGTCGGAACCTTCTGCGAGGACTGAGTAATCGGCAAGAAAGATGTATAGTCAGATGATATTGTTGAATGCGGTGTTGCATTTTGGATTTGCCCCCGCATGCTTTGCATTGGAGGCCCTCTGGGAAAGACTGGGGGCTGCTTCAGGCTAGAGTGGGAAAAATCGCGCGGTTGGGGCGGTCTTCGGGCTCCTCGGCGTCTGTTGTCAGGGACTGAGGCCTCGGGGGCGCGAGCGCGCCGTAATTTAGAAGGAATCCTAGCCTCGGGGGCGCGAATCTTGTGGAAGTTACATAAGGCTTATGGCCTCGGGGATGCGAACATGGCGTAATTACCGAGGTTTATGGCCATGGGCACGCGAATAGTTTGTAATTTACAAGGGTTTAGTTTTTCGGGGACGCGAACATTGCGTAATGTACGAGAGTGTATGGCCTCGGGGACGCAAGTACGGAGTAATCTTCTAAGGATTAAGGCTCGGGGACCCGGATCTTGCGGAATGTGCAAGGGTTCATGGCCTAAGGGACGCACACATTGTGTAATTTACCATGGTTTATGGCCTCGGGTTGTGCAAATATAGTGAATTTGCAAAGGTTCATGGCCCATGGGACTTGGGACAAGAATATTGTATAATTTACAAGGGCTTGCGGCCTCGGGGACGTCACGATTTTATAATTTACGACGGCTTATGGCTTCCGGGACGCGAGTCTTTGATCATTGTCGATCTCTTATGGCCTCGGGGATGCAGATATTGTGGAACTTACAGGGGGTCGTGGCCCCGGTGGCCTAACCCCCCGAAGCCAGTCCAGTACAGGCGCACGTAGAAGTAGCCGCAGCCGTTGAAGTCATCGGGCCTCCTCCTCCTCCTCCCTCTCCTTCTCCTCCTCCTCCTCCTTTCCCTCCTCCTCCTTTCCTTCCTCCTCCTTCTCCTCCTCCTCCTCCTCCTGGGAGGCCCCCTGTAAGTCCACCGGGGACGCACCTGTGGTGTAGTGTAGGCGGGGCCGTGGCCTCGGTGGCGCGAATCTTATTCGTTTTTACGTGACCCAGGCCCTCCCCTTGGGGAGGGTAACCAGGAGGAGGAGGAGGAGGAGGAGGAGGAGGAGGAGGAGGAGGAGGAGGAGGAGGAGGCCTGTTGTCAATTACGGCGTACTCGCGCAAGCCACGGCCCGTGCAAATTTACAGACGATTCGCCCATTTTTACGTGACCCAAGCCCAGAAACTCTGAGAACTCTCCTTGGGGAGGGTAACCAGGGCTCTTTTCGGCTCTCCAACCCTCGCGCGGACAGTAACCATTTACAGTAGGAAGCAGAAGGCAAGATTGCAACATTGGAAACTGGAAACTGGAACATGTGCAGGGTACTGCAACCCTCATCCTCGCAGCTTGGAACGGGGCCGGCGGATTCGAGAGCCAACCTTGCACAGTTTTCGAAGGATGGACTTGTCTTGGATTCGCTGAGTGTGGGCAGCGACGTAGTGGCTCGATGGGTCCCGCCTGGGTACACCGCTCTTTTGGAAGGAGGTGCCGACTTGTGGAGCAAGACAAGAAAGGACGACAAGCTGGCTTTCCTTCGAGAGGCTTGCGCCACTCCGCGCCGACCCCCAGAAGAGGCAAGAAGTCAACGATTCGCCATTCATTTGAGCCTGATTGATTTTTTTCCGGTTTGGGCTCCTGCCCAGGGCTCTCTTTGCGTTGGTAAGCCTACCCCTGGTGCCAAGTTCGAAGAGGGCCGCCGGATGTCCGCCCGATAGCAAAAGCGAGGTAAAGTCCCAATGTGTTTTAAAACATGCGTTTCGCCCCTGCCCGCTTGAGGAAATGCGCCCCCATCTCGGATCCTCGTTGCCTAACGGGTTCCACAGACCCCGCTTTCCCTCGCAGAAAAAACGTGCGGAGCGTTTTGTGCAGACTCCCAGCTCAATAACGAGAGGTTCGGTTCGGAAACCTTTGGGTCGTCTTGGTGGTCCTCTTGGATCTCTCTTTTGAGCGTCCTGGGGGCTTCTTGGGCCGTTTGAGGTTTTCCTGGGTGTTTTGAGGCCCCCTCGGCGTGCTGGGGCCCAGTCTGTGCAAGCTGTGCTAGAATAGGGGGCATCCTGGAGGCCACGGTGTGTACATTTGGATGCTCGAGAGGCCCCGTGGGCACGATGAGGAGTCCGGTCAGCCCTCCCTCCTGGCCCCCCCCCTGGCTCCTCCCCTGCCCCTCGACGCCCCCGCCACCCCCCCGTGACCCCCCCAGGCCCCCCTTTCCCATCTGGTTTCGAGTCGGGCGTGTCCCTCCGCAGGGGGGAGCATTCAAAGATAGCCAGACAATAGTACGGGGGCGATTTTTGTTGTATTTTTAAGCATTTTGGGGGAATTTTTGAGTTTTTTTCTTCGCCCAAAATCCCCCTGTAGGGGGACACGCCCGACTTAACGCTAGTTGGATTTTGGACCCTTGGGGAGGGAGAAAGGGGGATGGGGACGGCCAAATGTCTCGCGCGCCTTGTCATCCCCGACACGCGGGGGTCGGCGGAATTCAACCATGCTTCCGCCATTCCGCCGCCGACCCCCAGAAGAGCAGATGCGCCGCTTCCGATTTCTTTGGCGTTGTTTGCCGCTTCCCGTCGAGCTGCTTGCATGTAGTCATCGCTAATGGGCTTGTTTTCCACCAAAGGAGAGGAGGACGAGGAGGACGAGGAGGACGAGGAGGACGAGGAGGAGGAGGAGGAGGAGGAGGAGGAGGAGGATGAGGAGGAGGAGGAGGAGGATGAGGAGGAGGAGGAGGACCCCGTCCCACTCCAACTTGTGGTGGGGGTGGTGGAAAACAGGCTGATTCGTCCGCATCTTCCTCCGCGTGCATTGCGGGGCTTCTTGGGGGCCCCTCTCGGAGGCCTCAGGGGTGGCCTCGAGGGAGCCTTGTGTGTGAGGGCCGCTTGGGCCTTTCAAATGGGGCCCCCTCGGGGATGCTCGGGAGCCCGTCGGGGAGGGCTCTCGGCGCCCCTGCCAGCCTCCCCCTTGGGTCTCCCTTGGGCCCCTCCCGAGGCCCTCTTGGAGGCCCTGCTTCGCTGTCCTGGTCCTCCTGGGCCGTTTCTGTCGGGAGCGAAAGCAGGACGTACACGTACACGAATCCACGCTGGTTTCGGGAGTGCGCATTACCCGCATGTTCGTATCACGCGGCCCGTCTCGCGGATCGAGGGGCCGTGTTCATGTACATAGCTTGGCGCGTACGTCCTTTATGGGCTCCTTATTCTGGGGCCATCCTGGGGACCTCTTGCCCCGTCTTGGGAGCTGGTCTGGAGGTGCCCCTCGGGCTGTCTTGGGGTTCAAAAGATCCTTAGAAGGCGAGAGCGCGAACATCATTCAAGAGCGAATGGAGCATCACCGTTTTTCCCGGAAAGGGCTTGGTCCCAGGGTTTTCTTCCCAACCTCGGGGGCGGCAAAGAGGGGGGTGATGACTAGGGGGGGTGGATATCATGGCGGGGGCCATGATATTCCCCAGATTTCATGGCGCCTCTTCTTATTTCGTTACGTCCCTGGGCCCCCCGCTGGGCCGCGCTCATGCCGCCGGCCATGATTTGCACCCCCCCCTCTTGGACGCCCCCCTCTTTGCCGCTCCCGACAACCTTCCCTTGGTTGGGTTCTCATTTTGAATACGTAGAGCAGTGGGGTGCCGACTCCCTGTTCCCTCTCCTTCTCCTCCCGCCCTCTGTCCCACCTCTCGCCTGCCTGCGCCTGTCTGCACCTGCCTGCAGGGGGAGCCAGCCCTGTCCCTCTCTCGCCTGCCTCCTGTGTGGGTCAGCACAGTGTGGTCCCACGCAGACCCACACGGGACCCTGCCCTCTGGGGGGGCTGCGAAGTGTGACACCGTCGCCATTTTTGAGGGATGCTGGGCAAAACAGCACAGTGGGGTCCCACGCAGACTCAAACGGGATCTCGCCATCCCTGGGAGGCTCAGCAGTGTGAGATTGTCGCCGCTTTCGAGGGCTGCTGGGCGTGATCACACAGGGGCCCCATGCAGATCCACACGGGACTCGCCATCCCCAGGGGGCTGCGATTTGTGAAATTGCCGCCTTTTTCGATGGTTGCTGGGCGGGGCCACCACAGTGGGGTCCCTAGCAGACCCAAACGGTACTTGGGTGGCTGCGAAGTGTCAAAACGTCGCCACTTTCGAGGGTCGCTGGGGGGGCAGCAAACAGGCCCCACGCAGATCCAAACGGGGCTCGCAATCCCTGGGTGGCTGCGATGTGTGAAACCGTCGCCCCTTTCGAGGGCTGCTGGGGGGGGCAGCACACAGGGCCCCCACGCAGATCCAAACGGGGCTCGCAATCCCTGGGTGGCTGCGATGTGTGAAACAGTCGCCCTTTTTTGAGGGCTGCTGGGCGAAGCCAGCACAGTGGTGCCCCACGCAGACCCAAACACCTCGTCATCCCTGGGTGGCTGCAATGTGTGAGATTGTCGCCACTTTCAAGGGCTGCTGGGTGTGGGGTCCCACGCAGATCCACATGGAACCTCGCCATCCCTGGGGAGCTGCGAAGTGTGGAACCGTCTCCATGTTCGAGGGCTGCTGGGGGAGCCAGTACAGTGGGGCCCCGCGCAGGCCCAAACGGGACCTCGCCATCCCTGGGGGGCTGCGAAGTGTGGAACCGTCGCCACTTTCGAGGGCTGCTGGGCGGGGCAGCGCACAGGCACAGGGGCCCCACGCAGATCCAACCGGGATCTCGCCATCCCTGGGGGGCTGCGAAGTGCGAAACCGTCGCCCATTTCGAGGGCTGCTGGGGAGACCAGCACACTGGGGTCCCACGCATATCCCCAAAAGACCCGGCCATCATCTCTCTGCTTCTGCCGAGGTAACTTTTCTTCCGCCCGATTTCATCGTTTTGCTTCGCCTTTCTAGGGCAATGCCTCCTGGCCTGTTGTACCTCTGTTCTGCGAGTCGGCCACGCACACTTCGCACGACATAGATATCCGCCGTGCATCGTCTCTTGCAGTGTTGCTGCTGCAGTATTGTCGGCACACTTTGTATCATCTCTTGGTGCCGATGGATTTGGGTACTTCGCAGGGTAAGGATCGTTTGTAAGCTGTCCCCAATCCCATGCTTAGGGGGGCACATGCGAACCGTACCCCTACCCCCCATGATTTCTGAGGGGGAGGGTGGGGTTCACTTCGCTCGGGAACTCCCGAACGAAGTGAAACCCACCCTCCCCCTCAGAAGTCGTGGGGGGTAGGGGTAGGGTTCGCGTGTGCCCCCCCCCATGCTGGAGGTGGGCCGGTGCAGTTCCGCTCGGAAGAGTCATCTGCAGTCCGATGTGCAGTTGAAAGGGCGCTTCGCGCGTGCTCGGTCGAGGAATGTGCGCCCCCTTTTTCTGGGATTCTCGATGCATAGCTGGGTCTGCAGACCGCCGATGGGCGACATGGGCGCCCACGTCGCGCCGAAGGCACTTTGGAAGTGCCTTCGGGGCGGCGCAGGGGCGACAAAAATGTCGGCGTTTGCGTGCCAGGGCATTTTCTTTTGCGGAGTTGGGCGCCCTGGCGCGGACGGCCGAACGACCCCTGCAGCGGGACGCCCTGGCCACGCGGTCGCCGCCGCAAAAACTGCCCGTTCGACGCTCGCCGCGCAGAGGCTGCGCCGAACAGATTGTTCGGCGCGCGCTCGCGCCGTGGGCGACATGAGTTCCCTTCGGAGCAAAAAAACATGGGAAGAAGCGTTTTGCGCGTAAGTTTCTGCTAATCGCTGTCTCTGAGGGCCCTACAACTATTCTTTTTCTTTTTGAGCAGTAGGCTTCGTGCGTGCCCGCTCGAGGATGTTTCTAGCAAGACGACTGTTTTGCAGAAGTTGCGGGGCGTTGACGCCCCAGGATGCTCATGTGGTTCTGGCACCGCGGACACAGCATAATTTACGCGGGCTCGTGGTTTTTGGGGGCGCGGACACTAAGTAATTTTCAAGGGATCGCGGCCTTGGGCGGACGCACTGTAGTTTACAAGGGACCGTGGCCCGGTGGGGGCACACGCAGTGCAATTCATAAGGGATCGTTGCCCTGGGAGCGCACACGCTGTGCAATTTACAAGGGGTCGAGGCCTTGGGAGCGCGCGTCCAGCGTTATCTAAGAGGGATCGTGGCCTTGGGAGCGAGGGCGCAGCGCAATTTACAAGACGTCGTGGCCCTGGGAACGCCGACGCAACGCAAATTATGATGGATCGTGGCCTTTGGAGCGTGACCCCAGCGCAATTTGCAGCACAACGCGGCCCTGGGAACGCGAACCCAACGTATCTTACACGGGATCTTGGCCCTGGGAGCGCGACCCCCCCGCGTAATTTACGAGGCATCGTGGCCTCTGGCAGCGCGAATCCAACGTTGTTTACGAGAGGGATCGCGGCCTGGGGAGCGATGGTGTTATTTATGAGGATTCGTTGCTTCGGGTCCAGCGCCGAGTTTTCAGGAAACGGCGGGGTGGGGCCGACCAGCGCCTTCCGAGAACACACACCCAACATAGAAAACGTATTGAGTTTCCTGTGCTGAGGAGGGGGGGGGTTGTTTTGGACAGCCTCTGTGAGGTGCTTCGTGACCCTGGGAACGCGGGCGCAGTGTAATTTGCGAGGGATCGTGGCCTTGGGAGCGCGGGCGCAGCGTGGTTCGCAATGGATCTCAGCCTTGGGGGCGCGGACCCAGCGTAATATGCAAGGGATGGATCGTTGCCCTGGAAGCGTGCATCCAGCTTAATTTACAATGGGTCATGGCCCTGGCAGCGCGGACGCGGTATAATTTGCTAGGGATCGTCGCCCTGGGAGCGCGAACCCAGTGTAATTTACGACGGGTCGTGGCTCTGGAAGCGCGAGCCCGTTGCAATTTACCAGGGATCGTGGCTCTGGGCGGGCGGACGCAGTGTGATCCACAGCGGTTCTGCCCTTTGGGGGGCGTGGGCACACCGCAGTTTGTGAGGAGTCGCGGCCCTGGGAGCACGAACGCCCGCGCGATTCATGAGGGATCGTGGCCCTTAGGAGCACGAGCGCAGCTTGATTTGCAAGGGATCGTGGTCATGGGACCGCGGCCGCGTCTTCGCCCCGTTCGCTCTCGCCGCGCGCTGTGCGCGGCGGTCGTTTGCCCCTTCGTCCTCGTCGTCCTCCTCCTCCTCCTTCCCCTTTCTTCCTCCTCCTCCTAATTACCTTTTCCTTCCCCTTTCCTTCCCCTTCCTTCCTCCTCGTCCTCTTCCTCCTTCCCCTTCCTTCCTCCTCCTTCCTCCCTTTTCTTCCCCCTTTCGTCCTCGTCTTCCCCCTCCTCCTCCTCTGCGCTTCAGCGCTGCCGCCCTGCGCGCGCCCGCCCGCGGAGGCGGCCGGGCGAAGGCGGCCAGGAACGGCCGACAGAGGTTCGTTCCCCCCCCCCGCGGTCTGGGTCAGGGGCCGCGGCTCGCAGGCCCGGGGGGCGTTTGCTCCAGGAAGACAGCCTGACCACATGTCAGCATGCGGCGTGCTGCATGCAGAGACTAGTTTACGAGGGATCGTGGCCCAGGGAACGCGAACGCAGCATCGTTTGCGAGAGGTCGTGGCCCTGGGGGACCCGTTCCGTCGTAGTGGCTTCGTTTATGGGTCCGTCGCGCGCGGTCCCGTTCTGATTTCGCGGGGTCTGGGGGAGCAGGGGGGAGGCAAGCCTAGTTTCCTGGAGCAGGTGAAAGGGGCTTGCCAGAGGGGGGCGCGGGGCGGGAGGAGCAGGTTGAGGGGGATGGGCCTCATCGGGGCGTTTTGGGGACCTCTTGGGCTCCTCTTGAACCTCTTTTGGGCCATCTTCAGGCCTCAGGGGGTCGGGAGGAGGATGAGGAGGAGGAGGAGGAAGAGGAGGAAGAGAGGAGGAGGAGAGGAGGAGGAGGAGAGGAGGAGGAGGAGGAGGAGGAGGAGGAAGGAGGAGGAGGAGGAGGAGGAGGAGGAGGAGGAGGAGGAGGGAGGAGGAGGAGGAGGAGGAGGAGGAGGAAGATGAGAGCGCGGACGCCGCGTAAATCACGAAGGATCGTGGTTTTCCTGGCACGTTCCGTGGCGCATCCCCTGGGCACGTCGCGCGGCGCGTCCCTTGGTACGTCCCCTGGAACGTCCGCTGGCACGTTCTGTGTCGCGTCCACCTGGCACGTTCCGTGGCGCGTCCACCTGGTGACACTTCGCGCGGCGCGACCCCTGGCACGGCCCCCGGCACATCCAATGGCACGCCTCTGTGCTTCGCGGCAGAGCGCAGAGCAGTTCGGCAGCCGCTGACACAGTAGCATCACCATGGATATCTTCAGTATTGCCACTGCCCATCGCCCAGTCGAGGTGCGCGGAAACGTGTCCATGCCTCGCAGTTCTAAATCCCTTTCCGGCTTCGTGGGTCGATCATGTTTTTCTTCTTGAGGCCCTCTTAGTGGTCCTCTTCGAAGCCTTTTGGGTCGTCTCCGGGGCCCTTGGGCCGTCTTGAGGCCATTTTGGATATCTTGATGCCTCTCTGGCGTCTGGAGCCCGTCTTGAGTCATTCCACAAAGCATCTTGGACATTTTGGAGGCCACGCAGGGTGAATCTTGAGGTTTCGATCGCCCTGGAGGTGCGTTGAGGAGCTCGTCCTAGCCCCGTCATCTCACACGTCTTTTCACCTCTGAGAAGTTTGGGTTGGTGGATTGGCAAACTGAAATCTCGACCCGACGGTGTCCTGAATTCTCTCCACCAGACACCATTTTGGAAAGGACGCGTACATGAGGAGGGAAACGTTTGGAATATCCAGAATTTGGGACGATTTGTCAGCGAGTATCCCATGCAGCTGATTCTGCACAAGAACCAGATGTGCTGCCCTTCCGACAACGTTCTGGAAACGTTCCGGCTAGCCCAGCTGCTGCCGAACAAGGCGTGTGTGATATCCAGCTCTGCTGCCGCACACATCCGCCTCCGCGCTCGGGGGGAAGCATTCAGTCGGGCCTGTCCCTCCACAGGGGGAATGTTCAAACATAGTCAAACATCGTTTGGGGACTGTTTTTTTGAGTATGCTTGGGCATCTTTGGAGTATGTGTTGACTTGTTTTGTATTTTCGTCGAAAGCCCCCCTGTCGGGGGGCAGGCCCGACCTCAGGGAAGCAGCGCGGCGCGCGCGCGCCCGTGCGCCCTGCCCCGGCGCGCTCCAGGAGGCACCAAGGGGAGCCCCCGGAGGCCCCGCGGGCTCCGACCGTGCCTTCTTGCAGGGGCCACGGGGGGGCACGCTCGACAACGCGGGAGGCAGGAGGAGGAGGAGGAGGAGGAGGAGGAGGAGGAGGAGGAGGAGGAGGAGGAGGAGGAGGAGGAGGAGGTGGGAGGAAGGAGGAGGAGGAGGAGGAGGAGGACGAGGAGGAGGAGGAGGTGGGAGGAAGGAGGAGGAGGAGGAGGAGGAGGAGGAGGGGGAGGAGGAGGTGGGAGGAAGGTTTGCAGACGCAACCGTGCGTTCTTGCGTTGAGCCACGGCCACGTGTTTTTGCATGGGGTGCCTCTCGCCTGTGGGCTGGCACCGTGTGTCTTCACGGGGGCTGCTTCGCCCGAGGGCAGGAGCCATGGGTTCCAGTTGTTCCTTTCACCTTGTGAGCCTGAGTCGAGCGGTTCTACATGGGCTCCGTTCGCCCGTGGGCCGAAGCCAGTCGTGCTCACGTGGGTTCCTTTCTGTCTGTGGACTCAGGCCATGTGTTTTTTTGTTCACTGGCTCGTTTCGGCCTTGTGCCAACACCTTGCGTTTTTACGCTGGTCCCGTCCGCGTGTGCGCTCAAGCCAAGTGCTGCCACATGTGTTCCGTTCGCCCGTGGGTTCGAACCACGTGCTTTCACATGGGTTCCTTTGGCCCGTGAGCGCAAGCCGTGCGGCCTTGCATGGGTTCTTCTCGTTCGTGACGCTCCTGTGCCCTGCCTGGCCCTGCCAGCTCCGTGGGGCGCCCCCTGGCACGCTGGCTCGGCCTCGCGCAGGGGTGGGTGGGGGGATGGGGGAGGGCTTCTTAGAAGCACCCCTGCTTGATGGGCCTGTTTTCCACCACCACCACCATAAGTTGGAGGGGGCAAGGAGGTGGAGGAGGAGGAGGAGGAGGAGGAGGAGGAGGAGGAGGAGGGCGAACAGGAGGAGGTGGAGGAGGAGGAGGTGGAGGAGGAGGGGGAGCCCTTCCCCCTCCAACTTATGGTGGTGGTGGTGGTGGTGGTGGTGGTGGTGGTGGAAAACAGGCCCACCACTGCTTCGTAGAAGGCGCGGGCCTTCTCTATAGATGTAATGCCAGCGCCTTCTAAGAAGCAGCCTCCTTCTAAGAAGCCTTCCCCCCTCCCCCTACCCTTTTGTGCGCGCCGCCAGTTGGCGCGTCTTTTGGCACGTGCTCTTCGACGTTCCCTGGCAATGACGCCCGCGGCACGCCCCTCTGGCACGCCCGTCGGCTCGTCCGTGGCGCGCCCCCTGGCTCGTCCTTTGTCGCGCTCCCTGGCTTGTCTCAAGTCGGGCCTGTCCCTCTACAGGAGGCAATATTCAAAAAAGGTAAAAAAAGTCAGGGGGCAATTTATATATTTTTTTGAGTATGTTTTGACTATTGTAGTGGCCTCTGGCCAGTGCCGCCGACCCGGGGGGCTCCGGATTCGGTGATCTTCGCGGCTCTGTGGCCTCCTCCGTTCTCGATTCTTCTGGTCCTCTTTCTTCTCCTCTGGAGGAGGGCCTGGAGCGGTCCCGGGGGGGTTTCCGGGGAGGGTTCCGAGGGGTGGGCCCCGGAGGCGGCAGCGGCCAGATTTGGGGGGGTCCCTGGGGCTCCCCGACACATCCTGGGGATGCGCAAATCATTAGGAGAAAACCGCATGGGGGACCGCCCCCCCGCCCCCCTTCCCCCCCTTTCCTGGGAGGGGGGTCCGGGTGGGCAAATCAGCAAGAAAACGTCCGATGGGGGACCGCCCCCCCCCCCCTCCCCCCCCTTCCTCGGCAGAGCCACCCCAGCGACCCCCCCAAGCAGAAGTGAATCTCTTGCTTAGGCTCAGAGCTGAAGCTCTTGCTGGGGCTCCTTGTAGTTCACACGCCGGATCGGCGGATTTTTAATTTGTCGCCCAAAATCCCCGTGTAGGGGGACATGCCCGACCTAAGGCTTGTCCCCTGGCGTTTCCCCTGCCCATCTCGCGCCGCGTCCCTTGCCACGTCCCCTGACACGTTCCCTGGCACGTCCTCTGGTGCGCCCCATGTCTCGTCCCGCTTCGGAACTGAATCGGATCTCGAGCTCGAGCTATTGGAGCTTCCCACACGTTTCGGCCGCAGACAGCACCGAGCCAGCTATGCGCTCAGGCAGCTCGAGCTTAAAATCCAGATCAGTTCAGTAAGGATTCGGACGCTAAGGCCTCTTTATCCACAACGCTCTGGAGCACAACGCAACTCATCGCGGCATGTCACATCTCATCTCAGCACGTCACTGCACAGCAAAAGCCTTGGCACGGCGCTTACGATCGGTATCTTCAGCATTGCAGTTGCCCGCCGCCCAATCAGATGCTTTGAAAACGTTGCCAGGCCTCGCATTTCTAAATTCCTTTCCGCTTTCGTAGGTCGATCGTGTTATTATTTTGCTTTTGGCCGAGATGGGTGCCATTTTCTCTTGGGCTTCGCGGGTACACCTGCTAAAGGCTCCTCCCCCCTTGGGAACGGAAATTGGCCGAGGCTAGCCTTCCGGACTGGAGCCAAATATGCTGCGTCAGAGTTGCATTGACAAAAGTGACCATCCCACCTACCTGCCCCTAGCTCCTCCTACGCTCGGGCTGGCTAGTCTTGCCAGCTGGTCCGAATGAGTTCCTACATATCTGCTATCTATACCGAGAAATCCTGACGCACGGCACTTCCCTCTTGGCCTGCTGCAGGATGCTTCTGTGAGGTTCGGACAGCAGGAAGCCCAGGAGGGCTTTGTCGGCAACGCCCTGAAGCTCTGGAGTACGCCGAAACTTCAACCACAACGTTTGCGATGGCTGAGCTGGTCTCTCTCTGCGGACGCGCGGGCCCGCGAACCACTCCACGGGAGGCAACACTGCACCAACATGTTGCGCTAGGAATGCATGTGGTACTCGCTGCCAGTATTTAGCGCAGCACTGCTGAAGTCGGTGCAAACATATTTCATGTACATCAGGCGTGCTGCGGGCCACGCCCTGTGCGTATGTATTGGGTGCGCGCTGTCTTTGCCGAGGGGGATATCCAGGGTGGTCGGTTTGAACCGTGGGCGGGTTCCTGTGCGACCACCGTGTCTGAAGATCGACAGATCCAGGCATTCGACCTCATCAGCCGGAAGCCCCTCCAGCTACAGTCGGAAGTACCCTGGCTTGGCCATGAGTTATTTGCAACAACTACCCCCTAATGCAGAATCCCCGATGTTCACCAGGATGCCGTCTTTACATTCCAGATACCACTTTATCCTGTGGGCGGCCAGCTGCCTGACAGCCCATCTTTCCATGCGGCTCAAGAGTGCAAGGTCTGCTACCTCCGCCGAGTGAGGGAGGCCCATCCCTGACCCCCGTATCATTTTATTCAGACGGTCAGGAAGGGAACTAGAGAAAATGCACTTGTGCTGTAGCAGGAAGGACAGCGCCCGAGACACTAATTGTTATAAGGGTCCAGAAAACCTGCTTCCTACGTCGTCGACGAGGCTGTCACAATCCCCTGACATGAAGCATTATTTCACATATAGTTTCACCAGCCTGTCTCCGACAAGCATGGGCATGCTCATCAATCATCGGGCGATCCTCGGGAGTCTTTCGCTATATGTGAAGATTCCCGGACCTTGGACTTCAATACGCGCGCCAACCAATGTGAGAGCCCAGCGAAACAATACCTGCTAGCCGCATGTGTGTTTCTGAAAGTGATGGCCTCGGGATGCTAATGTGCTTTGCACGTCTTGATAAGCCGATGTTTGTACGTGTGCCTTGGGGCACTCAAAGGCTCCATAATATCTTGTACAATATGGTATTCCACGACAGCTTCGATATCCTTGGCCAGTTAGAAAATTCTTGCGCGAAAGTATTGCATATTATGGGACCAAGTCTGAATTCTTTCTTCATATTCGGCTCGCTCCAAGATCTGTTCATCAACATGCTTGTTCATATTTTTCGGCACGAGGGTATACTCAACTTCTTTGTCGTTTTTGATTGGTATTAAGTCGGAGGCCTGCAACCAACCAAATGTTTTTGACTAGCAAGAGCATGTTGCCACGCTGGCGATGCCGACACCTCCGAATCTGTTGTTCGCACGCTCCGGAGAGTGCGCGGCGAAGAGAATCCAGCAACAACGGTTCCTCTGCTGCGCCTATTCCTGGACATGTTGGGGTCCGCCACCCTTTTACGCGGTAGTCGAGTCGCTCATGGCTTACAAAGTCCCGCAATTTTCCAATGCCATAAAATTCAATTTGCTAATTTGTTCAAATCGTAATTCATGTCAGACAGCTTGGACAGGATGCCAAGGCTGAAGATGTGTTTGTGGTGAAGCGTGCATAAGAGCCACTACTGGTCATTGGAGGTCTGTCGGAACGAATATCGACTGGTCCGCATGTTCGTACACGTTGACCGTGTCAGCCCGTCATTGGACAGTCACCAGCGAGATCCATGCTTCCAAAAATGCTCCGTCCATGTGCCTTACCAATCATTTGCCTTTTCCACGTTTGTTGTTGAAATTGCCAGCGCCTATGCCTGAGGGCTTGCCTCCAGCTCTCCAACCTTTGGCGTCTCCTTTCGCGACGCCTTGGCCTCGCTTCCCTTCGCCATGTTAATTCCTCTGTTTGCCACCGTGTTTGCACCATTATTTGTCCCCCTTTCGTCGGTGTTCTCTTTGCTCTTACTTTTGCCACCTTTGGTTTTACCCTTGCCTTTGCGACTTTTGGTTGTGCCCTTGATCTTCCCTTTGTCCGAATCGTTGGCTTTGCCGTTGCTTGTCGCTCCATGGGCCCCCCCCAGGGGTCGAACTCTTTTTCATGACATGGACTACCTCTGTGATCGTGGCGCCAGCCTCACCGTGGACATCGAGCATGTCGTCGCTGATCAGGCCATGCTCCTCGAGCTTCTTATCCACGGTGGCGTTGACAAATACCGCAAAGAGTTCGTCGGGCTTGGACTTGTGTTTTGCTGTTTATCGTTATTATCGATGTTTTATCCGCTTCTTCTCCTTCGAGGCCTCCACGTTGATTGCTTTGGCCCAGAGCGTCTCCAGCTTTTCCATGGCTGCTGTCCGGCCCACCGGCTTGATGCCGATGGTGTCGAAGCCCAGTCCACTTGCCTTGTCTTCCACCAGGAAGCTGATGATCTTTGAGCCTCGATCCAGAAATGCCTGCTTCATCGCCGAGCTCATGGCGGTGATCTGCTGCTCGCGGAGGGCCTCGGGTAAGTCCTGCTTGTGGAACAGCGTCATCGCTGGGGAGCCACATGCGAACCCTACCCCTACCCCCCACGACTTCTGAGGGGGTGGGTGGGGTTCACTTCGTTCGGGAGCTCGCAAGCGAAGTTAACCCCACCCTCCCCCTCAGAAGCCGTGGGGGGTGCAGTCAACCCGCGTAGTAAGGATAAGCATCCTCGCCAAAGGTACCCTCGTATTCTTGCCTCATCGGTCCATCCTTCGCCACTTTCGTTAGCCGCGCCCCGCTCGAAAATCTTCAGAATAGGCGTCCAAGGCCCTCGCATCCTTCTCGCGCTTCCTTACTGTACGGGTTGACTGTAGGGGCAGGGCTCGCACGTGGCTCCCTACTCTCGTGGTGCACGATGCGCACAGCTCCGCGCCTGGACGTCCCCCTCTCGAGCGGGATCACCAGGCTGGACGGTGCGTCCACGCAGGCCCCCGTCGTTGAGCCGAGTTCCACCTGGCCCTCGCCGGACTCAGAGGCTCTGCGTCCGCTTGGATGCGTCCTTTGGGTCTTGTTCGATAGGACTTTGGCGTCCTCCTCGTACTCCTCTGATGAAGCTCTGGTGCGCGAAGCCCCGCTCAGGGTTTTGTGCCAGATGCGTGAACGTGCGTCTCCGGGTTTTTTGCTGATGTCATCTGGAGTCTTCTTGATGTTTGTTGCTCTACCAGTGTGAACATGTCGTCCGAGGCGTCGGCTTCGCCCAACGCCTTACGTTTGCCCGCGCCCTGGTCAGCGGCGGCGGCAGCAGCCGCTGCTGAGGCAGCCGGTGGAAGTGAGCCCACACTCGCCAATACATTAGCGAATGATGGTAAACCTCCACCTTCAAGCGCCATCGCGAAGAAAATGCAGCAGCGTACCACTCTCTTTTTGGGCTTCGCGGATACACCTGCTAAAGGCTCCTCCCCCCTCGGGAAGGGAAATTGGTCGTTGTTATCCTTCTAGACTGGAGCCACATATGCTGAGTTATTATTGCAATGGCAACATTGACGACAATGATGGCAATGATGACAATGACCTCGGCTCGTCCTTTGTCGCGTGTCTTCGCTTATCTCCTGGCGCTTCCCCTGCCCATTCCGCGCCGCGTCCCTTGCCACGTCCCTGACATGTTCCCTGGCGCATCCCCTAGTGCGCCCCGTGTCGTCTCGTCCCGCTTCGGAACTGACTCAGATCTCGAGCTCGAGCTGATTGAGCTTCCCGCGCGTCTCGATTGCAAACAGCTCCGAGCCAGCTATGCGCTCGGGCAGCTCGAGCTTAAGATCCAGATCGGTTCAGTCAGGATTCGGACGCTAAGGCCTCTTTATCCACAACGCTCTAGAGAACACAAGTCATCGTGCCATGTCACACCTCATCTCAGCACGTCGCAGCACAGCACACCCTGTGGCACGGCGCATTACGATCGGTATCTTCAGCATCGCAGCTGCCCTCCGCCCAATCAGGTGCTTTGAAAACGCCGCCGTGCCTCGCATCTCTGCGCCCCTTTCTGCTCCCGTCGGTCGATCGTGCTGCTCCTCTGCTTCTGGTCGGGACGGGTGCCACGGAGCCCGACGGAAGCGGCATCCCCTCCCCACCCGGGGAGGTGGACCGGCCAGCGGGGAGATCGGTGCGGGCCGGCGCGCCCTCGGGCGCCGCGGAGTGCGGCCGCGGATCTGCCACCGTGCACCCTCTGGACGCCGACGGCTGGGGCGGCATCGTGCACTTCTTCGGGAACATGTCGGAGGCGGAGGCGGTAGTCAGCGGGCTGCGCAAGGATGTGCGCGCGTGCCAGCGCCGCAGCTACGCCCTCTACAAGGCCAGGTTCGACTCGTCGAAGATACTCGCTGAATCTGGTTTTCTCGACATGTGGAATGGTGGCGCGCACTGAGCGCGCAGAGGCGTCTTTCTCATCTGCGTCTCCTCGCGCGTCGTCGTCGTCGTCGTTGTCGTTGTCGTCCATCTCCCTCCCCTACCTCTGTTCGAATCCGTCAGCTGGACTTGTAGGGGCTGCGCTTGTGAGCTTATCTTGCTGCGATGGTGCGTATGCCTGTCCTCACACACCCTTCCGGATGTACCAGCATCTATTATATGGAGGCGTTTGTTTGCTCAAGGTTTGTGCTGCAACGCTGCCTCGGTCTCACCAACGCATGGGATGGGATTATTTCATCGCTTCGCTCATTCCACCGACCTAGACTGTCCCACCGCGCGCGTTTTCCCGCATAATCGCTGCCACTGCGCATCGTGCTTGTGTGCAGCTCAAGTGGGCCCCGAGAAGCTTGAAGAAGCACGCGAGAACGCGCGGGAAGCCTCTGTGAGGCATGTTTGAGGATCTCAGGGGCCTCTTGGGAGCCTCTCGGGGGCTCTTGGGGCCTCGGGGCCTCTTGGGAGCCTCTCGGGGCCTCTCTGGGCCTCTCAGGTTCTCCTTGGGACCTCTACGGGCCTCGTTGGGGCTTCTGGGCAGCCTCTTGGGGGCATCTTCGGGGCACCTTTGCGGCATCTGGGGGACCCCTGGGGGCGTCCTGGGGGTCTCTTGGGGGCCTCTTGGGACTTCTTGGGGCCTCCTATGGGTTTCTCGGGAGCCTCTCGGAACTCCCTTGGGAGCCTCCTTGGCCGTCTTGGGGCGATCTTGGGTGCCTTTTCGTGCCGTCGTGGACGCAGAGCAGGCGAATACGCATAAGTGTTTACTTTCTGGCGGGAATTTGCCATTTTCTGCTTCTCGAGGCCTCTGAAGCCTCCCCCCCATGGCCTGTCCGGGATTATCTTGGGGCTACCTTGAGGCTTCTTGGGATTATTTTTGTCGGGCCATCTTGAGGCCTGCCACCTATTGATCCCGACTTTGGGCTACTTGGAGCTCTCCTGAAGTCCCTTTTGGGCGCCCCAGAGGCGATCTTGAGGACCCAGAAATCGCTCCGGGAGTTCCGGCATCCGTCACCTGGCCGTGATTTTGCAAGGGTTCTGTTCGAGGGGCCGCTATGCGCGCGCGAATTCGACATACAATGCACCTGTTACGGGAGATTTTAGCACTCCTCAAGCTCGTTGGACTGGCGAGTTCTTCCTAACAGGTGGCGGCAGAGGTCCGATCTTCATCATCTGCTCCTATTCCTCATCGTCGTCTCCTGAGAGGTTTGCCTAGAGAGGAGCGACATATGGTATTACAAATGGAGTTGTGGAAGACTTACGGATCTTACACTTCCATCCATCTATGTTGCTTTTAGTTTGAATTTAAGCTACAGACTATTTTACATAAATTCCATAGGTTCCGCCGCAATGTTTCTCATGCTGCATTTTTTTCGCACACGACGAGGACGGCGGCGACGACGACGATGACGGCGGCGGCGGCGGCGCGGCGGCGGCGACGGCGGCCGAAACTGCCTCCCCCTTCCTCCTCTTTCTACCGTTTTTCGTCGCCCTCCTCGTCCTCGTCTCGTCTTCGTCCTCCCTTCCTTGTCCCTTCGTCCCTGCTGGGCTTGGCTTGGTTCCCCCCCCCCGAGGATTTTTTTGTTACCCCTACGGGGGGGGCTCTAGGGTGGGTCTGGAGGGTTTTTTTTTTCCCTGGGGGGGGGGGGGGGGGCGGGGGGGGCCGGGGGCCTCGAGGCTTTTATTTTTTCCCTCGGAGGCTCCCCCCCCTCGAGGTTTTTCTTTCCTCCCGGGTGGGGGGCAGGGGGGGGCCAGGGGCCCGAGGCTTTTATTTTTTTCCCTCGGAGGCTTTCCCCCCCCCCTCCCCCCCCTCGAGGCTTTTTTTCCCCCCCTCGAGGCTTGTGGGGGGGGGAGGGGGGGGCAACGGGTGACAGGGCGGGGGGAGAAAACGGGGGGGGCGCCCAGAAGAGGGGGGGGGGAGTGGGGGCCCCCGGAGGGGGGGGGGGGGGCCGCAGACGGGGGGCCTCGCCGAAGGGGGGCTCCGGCGTGGGCGTGGGGATCTCGCCCCGGGGGGGGCTGCTGGGCAGGCGCCGGAGCCCGACGTCTCGCGGCCGATTGCGAAGCAGATTTTGATGGTGCTGCCGAGGATGCTGGTGGTGGTGGTGACGAGGATACTTCGACGGCGACGACGACGATCTGGCGACGACGACAACGACGGCGACGACGGCATCGTCGGCGGCGGCCCCAGCATGCCGATGCATGCCAACGCAATACGATGCATGCCATGGGGTGCCAGTGCAGGCCAAAGTATGCCCATGCATGCCAACGCATGCCAACGCATGACAACGCATACCAAAGCATGCCAATGCGTGACAATGCGTGTCAAACAGTGCCAAGGCGTGCCAATGCATTCCAATGCATGCCAATGCATGCCAATGCACGCCAACTCATGCTAATGCGCGCGAAAAAGCTTCCCCCGCTCCCTCCACCCCCACTCGGCGCGCCGCCTCCTCCTCGTCGTCGTCGTCCTCCTCCTCCTCCTCCATCTCCTCCTCCTCCTCCTCCTCCTCCTCCTCCTCCTCCTCCTCCTCCTCCCCCTCCTCCTCCTCCCCCTCCCTCCTCCTCGCTCCTCCTCCTCCCCTCCGGTCAGCGGTCGGCCGGTCGGCGGTCGGCCGAGGAGCAAGCGGGGTAAGAGGATGAGGAGCAGGAGGTGGAGGAGGAGGAGGTGGAGGAGGAGGGGGGGAACTAAAACTATCCAGCTGCCTACGGCAAACCCTTCGGCGTGCCTGTTGCAACAGCGCGGCAGGAAGAAGGCTGAGTCTAGGAGCGGCGCAATTCCGACGAGTTGTCTGATATGGAACGGGCCGTATTTTTGGTTTCTCCTGGAGGGCTTCTTGGAGCACTCCTGGATGCCACCTGGGGGCCTCTTGGGGTCTCATGGACTTCTTAGGGTGCTTTTGGCAGGTCTGACGCTTTCTGAGCCCGCCTCTCTCTCTCTCTCTCCTTCTCTCTCTCCTTGCCCCCCTCCCTGCCCTCGTCCTCGTCGTAGTCGTCGTGGCCGTCGTCCTCGTCCTTGTCATCCTCGTCCTCGTCGTGGTCGTCGTCGTCGTCGTCGTCGTCCTCGTCTTCGAAGGTGGCCCACGAAGTTAGGTGGCCCGCCAACAACGGATCCGCGATGGTAGCCCCCTCCCCGGGGGACCTCCTCTTCCCTTTGGCGGCTCGCTGCGGGGGGTAGGGGGAGGGGGGGGGTTTCTGAGAAGGCAGGGCGTTCTCAGAACCCCTGCGAAGGCTTTTAGAAACCTCCGAGAGCTTCTGAGAAGCACCCGAGGAGGAGGAGGAGGAGGAGGAGGAGGAGGAGGAGGAGGAGGAGGAGGAGGAGGAGGAGGAGGAGGAGGAGGAGGAGGAGGAGGAGGAGGAGGAGGAGGAGGAGGAGGGGAACTAAACCTACCTAGCTGCCTACGGCAAACCTCGCCGCAGTGCCTGTGCAATGGCACGGCAGTAGTCAGGCTGAGTGTAGGAACGGCGCGTAATTCCGACGAGTGGTCTGAACTGGAACGGTCGTGACCTCGGGTTCTCCTGGAGGGCCTCTTGGAGCACTCCTGGATGCCGCCTGGGGGCCTCCTGGGGTCTCTTGAGCCGTCGCAGGGGGCTTCTGGCCGGTCTGACGCCTTCGGAGGCCGTCTTGAGGGCCTCTCTCCCCCCCGCTTCTCTCTTTGTCCCTCCCCGCCCCCCTCCCTGCGCTCGTGGAGCACATGGTCGCCTCGGAAGACCTCTTGATGGTTACTCGGGCGCTCGAAGACAGCCTCGGAGAGCCTCCAGAGGGGCCCGGGATGGCCCCAGAGAACCCCGCGACTGCCAAAGGCAGTGCCAAGACGGCCCGGCCCAAAAGGGGGGCGCGCAAGGAGCCGCGAGGCGTGCCGAGAAGGCCCAAGATCTCCCAAAGGAACCCCGCGGGAGGCTCCCAAATATACGTCCATACGCACATATACACAACCTGCGTCCCGCCAGTGTCTAGCCATCCGACACGGTTCCCCTGGGTCGCCACGCGGCGTCTTCACCTACGAGTGCCCTTGATTGAGGACCGCGCCTGCGTGTTCTCTGTCTTCGAACGGGCAAACACCCGATGCAGATTCGGCCTCGCGCCCCCCGGGTGGGGCTCCGAACCTCGCCGCGGGAGGAAAAGGGGGAGGATGAAGAGGAGGAGGAGGAGTGGGAAGAGGAGGAGGAGGAGGAGGAGGAGGAGGAGGAGGAGGA